GCCCCATTTTAGGTATTCCAATCAGTTATAGGCAGAAGACAGACTTACAAGCTTTCTATGGTGATATTTCTGGCTATTCCTTAATCTCCCCCTCAAGTTGTCTATTTTATAACGGTATGCAAGGGAAACCAAGATTCAAAAGACATCCAACCCCAATTGCATGAACCTCTGCAATTGGGCCCCATGGAGCCGCGGTAGCTGCCTTCCTACTTCATTCAGCCCAGCATCTTCGCTGACGGCTCTGCTCCGATGCCATGGCCTATGTGGAAGACGGCAGAGGAACCTGGTGCCCTAGCCTCTCACTCCGGGAGCAGAGGCTCCAAGTCAGGGGGCGACAAAATGTTCTCGCTTAAGAAGTGGAACGCGGTGGCCATGTGGAGCTGGGACGTGGAGTGTGATACGTGCACCATCTGCAGGGTCCAGGTAGGTGATGGATGCCTGTCTTAGATGTCAAGCTGAAAACAAACAAGAGGATTGTGTTGTGGTCTGGGGAGAATGTGATCATTCCTTCCACAACTGCTGCATGTCCCTGTGGCTGAAACAGAACAATCATTCCCCCATGCCAGCAGGACTGGGTGGCCCAAAGAATCAGCAAATGAGAATGGAGAGAGGCTTTCTTAATGCAGTGGTTCAGAGCCCTGGTCCATCTTGTTGTCAAGTGCCCATAAAGGCTTCAACCCTCCGGGGAATTCATTCATTAAATATGAGGAGATGAATCGGTGGTCCTTTGGCACTCATCAAAGGCATGGTTTCACATTTTGTCCGTTGTATTTTCAGAAACTCTCTACAATTATAAGAAAATTTATTAAAGATTTCCTATCCATGTGGTGCATCTCACACACTGCTTCAAAGTGCTATATAAGAGGAGAGAACTACAAATTGAGTGTCCTTTATAATTTACCTATTGATACCCAAGGGACTGTGGACGCAGCTCCATTCAGAGAACTTTTGGCATGCATGTGGTTGATCAATCACAAAACAGAGAGAGTATTACGGTAACAAAATATAGCTCGAAACCCAACTCTTTGTTCCTGATCGTTTGTGTGTGTGTGCAGAAGGAGGATGTAATTCATGAGATCTTTGGTGTAAGGTTGGGCATTTACCAATGATATGGTAAATGCAATTTAACCTTCTAGTATATGAGATTTTGATTGACTTATGTTATCATCTTTGATTAATCAAGAAAACCTAGATGTGCACTCACTCAACTGTTACTTTCCTTGAGTTCTAAATGGCATACATATTTTGATGTTCTGGTTCAATTATGTTGGAATGTAACTGTGTTGGGTGGAATGTCAATGAGGGGAAACATGTACCGTGTCCCACTTTACCCTGGGCTCAAAATTTTATTGTATCACATACTGTTTTAATAAATCATTTATTAAAAAAAAAAAAAAGACATCCATACATCTTAACATTTTTTCCCCCCTCTTACCTCTTCAAACCAAGCCTCAATCCCTGTATCCCAGAGCCGTTGTTCCAAGGTTGTGCATACATCATTTACCTCTGTCCCACTATGCCGGTGCAAACCTGCCTTCCTGTTCTCCCATCCACCTTGTTCTTCCATTCCCTCCTCTCCCCCCTCAAGGTTTATTCTTTAGTGCTACACCAGGATTCCTTATACATGACTAGAATACTCCAAAACCAAACCCACTGCCATAAACTTCATTCTGACCCCATAGGGCACTTAGTGAGTTTTCCACTTGCAGTCTTGTGGTCAGCAGCTCAACACTTAAACCACAGAGCCACCAGGGTTCCTTAGGGATAGAAAATCCTTGAATTCATCCTACCAAAGAAGGCATAAAAATCATAGGTGATGTTTAAAATTATTTCAATTATTTCCTTAATTGCACTTCTTTTGACTTTTACAATGCAAAAAAAACATCCCTTTCAAAAGTAAAAATATTTTAGGACATCTTAACCTCGTAGTAAGGAGCTCTGGTAGCACAGTGGTTATGAATCGGGCTGCTAATCTCATGGTCAGCAGTTCGAAACTACCAGCTGTTCCACGGGAGAGATGAGTCTTTCTGCTCCGTTAGATTTACAGCCTCAGAAAACCTGTGCAGGGTCGCTGAGTCAGAATTGACTCCATGCCACAGAACCATCTCATAATGCAGATTGACTGCAACTTACAATGGATTTCTATTCTAATGACTGTCCTATGTCAGTTTTGAGTGAAGTCTAATATCTCACTAATTTTTTTTCAAGTAGCTTTACAAATCGTCTTTGGGGATTGGAAATATTACACATAAGCTAACAGATACATTTTAACATTGCATATACTATATATCACTAATGCTAAGATGAACAAAACACAAAGTCCTAAGTGTGGTTTGTCATAGCCTGATTATGTGGTAAGTTGGGGACTGTTGTTAAATACAGGTAAGTTGGTCCTGACTCATAGTGACCCTGTATAGCGTTTCCAGGAAGAAGCTGGTGGGTTTGAACTGCTGACCCTGTATTTCACAGTGCAGTGCTGATCCTACAGCGTCACACCAGTTCAAGTTGGGACTACTTGTAACTTTTTTAGGTAACAAAATAAAATGCATCTGTACTTTTATGATGTAAGATATTGAGAAACTTTGGTGCATTAAACACTGATTCTAACTGATCCAACTAAAACATTCACACTTCAGAACATCATCAATTCTGCTTGAAGGGATAGTGTGGTGCCAAAGTATCAATCTTTTTCTAAAATGCAAACTTAAAATTCATTATGAATAAAATGGACTTTTCTATGTAGTTAAATAAAAGAAGTAGAATACATATATTTATACTGACTATACATGATTAAAAGGACTCTAATAAAACTGTATTTCATATGTAATTGATGCTCAGGACAATTCTTACCCTATTATTTAAGTGTATGCTATGAAACTTTATTCAATTATTAGAACAAAATTAGGAAATTCAGTTTTTAAAGGTTTTTATTTCATAATCCATAAAAAATTAAAGAAATTAGAGAAAATAATATGTACAAGACTCAAAAAGCATACAGAAAGGCAGCTTTTAATCATACATGAATGAGACAATTGTGGAAGTATATTTAATGTACACTCTCCAATACTGTACATAAATAATTTTAACTAGGCAGTAAAACCTTTTAGGTTTTGCATAAGCTATGCATATATAAGACACTTGTCAAATTTTAAGACTGATAAAGCCAATTTCAAGTTGCTTATATTTTGAGTACAAGTTTCACTATTACAAAAATGTGATGTTAACTAACAAAACAATATAGCAGTCCTCGATCTTCCCTTCTTCTCATGTTCATACACTTGTCATCTGAGACCATGTTAATTTCCATTCTTGCAGTTACTCCCCAAATTAGAGAAGTTATGCATTCACTTTCTATTTATCTCACCCATCTCCTTTATCTGAAATAGAAAAAAAAGATTCTCAAAAACAGCTTTCCATTCTGTAAATAGCTAAAAACAAAACAAAAACTCTACAAGGAAGAAAGCAAGATGGCCTCTCCTTTTACATCAAAGACTTATTTAAAAAGGGGGAAAAAAGAAAAAGTTGCGTTTACAAAGAAATACATTGAATACAAGACCCAAACTGCTACTGAAATAAAATATGGCCCAAGTGACTATGGAAAGTAACAGACAAGCGGCTCTGTAAGAGTGGGTAGGATTATTAAATGAAGAGCTAGTTAATTTTCTACTATCAATCTTTTATTTTATAGTTGAGGAAACTGAAGCTCAAAGTGAAGCAACTTGTCTTAGACAGTAACAAAGCAACTTGTCTTAGACAGTAACAGTTATAACTGAGACAACAATGCTGATGATGACTACTATTGGAAAACAACTGCTCATGAAGCAAACATGGTACCAATACGTCACCCAGATTATTATGTAATCCTTACACAACAGGCTGCTATTATCCTCATCTTATAGATGAGGAAATTTTGAGGCTTAAAGAAGTTAAATAACTGTCCAGCTAATAAGAGGTGAAGGCCAGATCTGTTTTGCCTTTAACCACACCACACCACTGAGCACAGCCCTACTCTGCCAGCACCATTCTGTTCACCAGTTAGGAATCAATTTAGAGAAGGTCCCTCAGACCTGTGGTCACTAGACCAGGTAAACCAGATATCTATGACAGTATGGTCGGTGGTTCAGACTCACCAGCCACCATCTTAGAAACCCTATACAGGGTTGCTATGAGTCAGAACCAACTTGACAGTGCTTAACAACAACAAATGATCCGGAATTGACTTGAAGGCACAAAACGACATATTGATACTTAATAATATAAAAAATTATAGGCTTCTACTATTTTCTATGAAGCAGAATTCAATATAAGGTGGTCTGTCATAAAACTCATTGAAAAGAATTTCATAGAGGCCCATTCTACGACTGTCTTCCAAAGGAAAGATCCTAAGAACTATACTTCATCCTTTATACTAATTGAAGTCAGTGTCTAGAAAGGTACTTACTTATTCAGTATAAGAGATTATATAGGGTTTTTTTAATTCAAGCAATCCTTGGATTATCAACAAGGTTCAGTTCCTACGTCTGTGGTTAGTAGTATGTGTACGTAAGTCAGAACAGTTCATAAGTTAGGTACAAGTCATATCTAAAGTCAGTAAAATATCTTTCTATGCATAAAAACATTAAAGAAAGACTTGGAGATACAGGAAAATATCTTAACATAATAAAATAAGAATAATAATGTTTTGATGTGTGTTACAAAATAGCTTCTGTTTGTTATTACTAAGCATTATATGTACCTCAAGTGTTAAATATAATAGACTTTACAGAGGTTGATTTGTAAGTATGGCTGTATATGGGTTATCTATACTTGGAGCCCCTTGGTGACACAGTTAACAAACTCCGCGGCTAACAAAGGTTGAAGGTTCAAGTTTGCCCAGAGACTTCTTTGGTAGAAATGCCTGGCAATCTATGTTCAAAAATCAGTTATTGAAAACCCTATGGAGCACATCACTACACTAACATATATGGGGTCACCAGGAGTTTTGAGCAATTGGTAACTGCTTTTATTATATGAGTAATCCATTTACCTCAGCCTTCTCATACTTTGTCATTCTTTTCTTTCTGGAAATAACCTGAAAAGAAGAAAAATGATTACTATTTAAAAACTGCTACCTAAACAAAAAGTTGGTTTAAATTGGCATATATACTTTTAAAGAACAGAGTTCCTACCTAAACAAACTCAGTTTCAAAATATATCCACACACATTGTTTTTTTAAACTGAAATTTCATTACTAAACTTGAGGGGAAAAAAGAAAATACTGAAACCAATAAAACAAACCAAAAAAAAAAAATCTATCCGAAACACAATGAAATTTAACAGCTTATACCTTTTTCCATGTTATTGTTGTCCAATGATTTCTGTGTTGCATTGGGTTACTTCTCTTTGGAATGAACACAAACACGGATCTCTTCCAATCAATTGGCCAGGTAGCTGTCTTACAAATTTCTTGCCATAGATGAGTAAGTGCCTCCAGTGTTGGGTCAGTTCACTGACAGATTTCTTGGAACCTTGTTCTTTGCCAATACCTTTAATGCACCTTGAACTTCTTCCTTCAGTACCACTGACTGTTTGATCATTTGCTACCTCTTAAAATGGTTGAACACCAACCATTTCTTTCTGGTACAGTGACTCTGTGTATTGCTTCCATTTTCTTTTGATATTTTCTGCATTACTCAATATTTTGTTCAAAAAATCTTTCAGTATTACAAGTCCAGGTTTGAATTTTTTCTTCAGTTCTTTCAGCTTGACAAATGTTGCGTGTTCTTCCTTTTTGGTTTTTCAACTCCAGGTCTTTGCACATTTCATTATAATATTTGACTTTATGTCCTTTTTAATTTTCTGTTCAGCTCTTTTACCTAATTTCTTCCATTTGCTTTAGCGTTTCTATGGAGGAAAACAAGTTTCAGAGTCTCTTCTGACATCCATTTTGTTTTTTTCTTGTCTTAATGATCTTTCGCTTTCTTCCTGTATACTGTTCTTGATGTCACCCCCACAACTCTTCTGGTATTTGGTCATTAGGGTCTAATGCATCATATCTGTTCTTGAGATAATCTCTAAATTCAGGTGGGATGTGTTCTAGGTCATAGTTTGGCTCTCGTGGAATTGCTTTAATTTTCTTCAGCTTCAGCCTGAACTTGCATATGAGCAGTTGGTGGCGTGTTCCTCAGTTAGCTCCTGCCTTGTTTTGGCTGATGATATGGAGCTTTTCTACTGTCTCTTTCCACAGATGTCATCAATTTGATTTATATGTATTCTATCTTGTGAGGTCCATGTGTATAGTCGTCTTTTATATTAATTTTAAAAACTATTTGCAATGAGTAAGTCACTGGTCTTGCAAAATTCTATCATGCAATCTCCAGTGTCATTTCCATCACCAAGGCCATATATTCTAACTACTGATTCTTCCTCTTTGTTTTCAACCAATCACCAGTAATTATCAATACATTTTGATTGCATGCTTGATTAATTTCAGACTGAAGAAGTTGGTAGAATTCTTCAATTTCATCATCATTGGCTTTAGTGGTTGGTGTGTAAATTTGAGTAATATTGGTATTAACTTGTCTTCCTTGTAGGCGTATGGATATTATCCTGTCACAGACAGCACTGTATTTCAAGACAGATTTTGAAATGTTCCTTTTTTTTCCCAATTTGAAAATTTTAATTACAAATACATTAAAGTAGAATCATGGTTTTGTTATCCTTCAAATATCAACTTAAACAATTCTTTCCAAACACTAATTTTTAAATTTATTGAGGTTTAATTTGTTGTTTGTTAGGTTCAGCTGAGTTGCTTCTGACTCAGAGCAACCCTATGGACAACAGAAACAAACACTGCCCTGCCCTGTGCCATCTTCACATTGTTGTCATGTTTGAACCCATTGTTGCTACCACTGTGTCAATCCAACTTGTTGGAGATCTTCCTCATTTCCGCTGACCCTCCACTTTACCAGCATGATGTCCTTCTCTAGGGACTGGTCCTTCCTGATAACGTGTCCAAAATATAAGAGACAAAGTCACACCATCCTTGCTTCCAAAGAGCACCTTAGCTGTACTTCTTTCAAGACATGTTTGCTCTTCGAACAGTTCACAGCACCCTCAATATGCTTTGACAATACCACAATCCAAGTGCATCGATTCTTCTTCAGTGTTCCTTATTCACCGTCCAGCTTTCACATGCATATAAGGTGACTGAAAAAAACCGTCTTTGCTCTCGAACACTTTCAAGAGATCTTGTGCAGCAGATTTGACTAATGTAATTAGTCATATGATTTCGTGACCACTGCTTCCATAAGCACTGTTTGTGGATCCAAACAAACTGAAGTCTTTGACAACTTCAATCTTTTCTCCATTTATCATGATACTTATTGGTCTGGTGGTGAGGACTTTCATTTTCTTAACATTGAGGTGCAATCCATACTGAAGGCTGTAGTCTTTGATCTTCATTAGTAGAAATGTTCTTTTTGATGTTAAATGTGATGCTATTCCTCTTCAATCTGTCATTCCCGGCATAGCAAACCATAAGAATGTCAGTTTCAAAATGGCTAATACCAGTTCATTTTGGCTCACTTATGCCTTGTATATCAATCTAGATATGCATTCCATCTAATTTTGACAACTTCCAATTTTCCTTGATTCATACTTCACACATTCTACATTCTAACTATTAATATAAGAGTAATATATAAAAACATATGCATCTAAGTTTTGGGGTCTAAAAATGGGTTCACGCGATATCATCTCCCTCTTTGAAACCTGTATTAACATTGGAGGAATCCTTCTAAGCAATGTAGGGGCTCCTAAAATGTAAATTCCACAAATGGGTAAAACAAATTTATTTTTTCAGTTTAGGAGGATAGAAATCCAAATTGAGGATGCCAGCTCTCGGAGAAGACTATCTGTTTTGGAGGAAGTTCTTTGACTCTTTGAACGTCTACAATCTTCATGTGGATTGGCATCTCTCTTCCGGATCATCTGGTTTGTTTTTGTTTTTTCTTGCTTGTTTAATCTCTTTAATATCACAAGAGGTTAATTCAAAATATAACTTAGATCCTGTCTCAATAGCACAACAAAAACTATCAACCCCCAAATATGATTATAACTAGAGATTAGGATTTACAACACGTATTTTGGGGGACATATCCAATTCATAACACCTTCCAATTAAAAGACATATCCATTCTCCTACTGATACACATACTGTTTTCATAATCACTCATAATCTTTAATATAATTTCCTATGTACTTGTGTTTTCATTTTAATAGGACAATTCATTGTCTACAGTTAAATTTTCAAGTGTTTATTTGGAATTCATCTTTTATGAACTGTCTACATCTATTGCCTTTTCTTTACGTGGTTTTATTTCTTCCTCATGAGTTTGTTGAGTTTCCACATTTGATGTATTTTGTTTGCTGTTAAGTGCCATCGAGTAGGTTTCGACTCATACTGGCCCAATATAAGGTTTCCAACCTTCTTTGGTTTATGTATCATCGACATTTTCACTTTACAGTGTCTTTTCTATAAAAAAAATCTTAAATTTTTAATGAAATCAAATATGTATCTCTTTTTCTTCATTGGTTTTAGATTTCTTGCCTCACCTAAAGGATTTTGCTTACAAGGTGATAAAGACATTATCTAAATTATTCCTTTCACATTGTTGTGCTGTGTGACATGTGAATGAATTATTCTCACATACCTGGGCAATGTAGCCAGCCCTGGAAAGGTGGATAGCCAAGTGTGATCATTTCATTAAACTAAAATGTAAATTCTCATACACCTTTAGATCATTTATAAAATTCTGTTGTACTGATTAAGATTTCCTGTTGCTAAATCATGCTTATATTTCTACAATAAACCCTGCTAGTCCAGGGGAGGAGTCCTGATGTGGCACATGGGCTAAGGCACTAGACAGCAAGGTTGGTTTGAACCTCAAGTTCGGTGGTTCTGATTCATCACCCTTTCCTTGGAAACCCTATGTAGGGCCCTATGAGTCAGAAACAAGTCAATGACACTTTAACAACAACAAGTCTAGGGAATACACAACTTATCTAAAGAACTGTTACAGCTTAATTTATTATTTAGATTTATTCATATTTATCATCTTTTATTCTTCTTTTTAAAAATACAATGGGTACAATACCCTCAATGTAACAGCATTCTTCTCACTTACTCCCAGGTAGCTATTGTTCCTTTCCTGCCCCTTCTTGCTTTCTTCAGCTTTGTTTTATATAAATGTTCCCCTTTTGGTCTCTTCGTTAGGTTAATTATTCTGAGGAGTACATTTCTCCCTGGAGTCCTAGTGTGGCACTGTAGGATAAGTACTTGACCATGAGGTAGTTTGAACTGCAAGGTTTGCTCCTTGGAAACACTATGCAGGGTTGCTGTGAGTCAGAACTAGCCTGATGGCACTTAATAACATATTTTTCCCTGGTGTTATTATTCACTTCATGGACCTATTGTTTGGCTGAGAGATGATCCTCTGATCAGGCTTAAAGAGCATCTGAAAGCCACAATTTTAGGGGTTCTGCCAGTCTCTATCAGATCAGTTAAGTGTGGTTTTTATTTATGAATTTGGATTTTGTTCTACCTTTCTTTTCTATGCTAATCTTACTTTTCTGTTCTATTATTTCAATTTATCGAAAGATTTGAAAATTCAGGTATTTTGCCGAATCCTGGCAGAAGTGTTGTATTATTTGTAGTGGTGGGGAGAACTGAAGAACATTTGCTGTTTGATGCTTTTTTCAGATTAGTATCTTTTCTTACTTCATAAAGTGATGTTTAGAAATAGAATAGATTAATTCACTACAGAATTATAAGAATGCAGATTTTGTTTCATTATTATGCTTAGGAACCAGACTGTAGACTTTTCATATACTACCTTTTCTTGAAATAAACTCTCACATGGATACTTTTCTTGGCATTATACTCACCAGCACAATAATTCCAACGACAACTGCTACTGTCACAACCACAATGACAGCAATAATTCCAGCTGTTAGGCCTTGCATTGAAAATTCAGGTGCTTTCTCATCGACATAGTATATTAAAGTTTTACCAGGATCCAGATCCAGCTGCTCCCCATTTACACTCAGGTCCATACTACTACTGGAACGAAACAATGATTCACCTTTTATCTGCAATGAGGAGAAAATTCATGAAAGATATGTAAGGAGACCAACCATGGCCATATACCACTATATACCAGTTATATACCCAAAGAACTACTTTCAAAAATATAAATGATACAGGGAAGAGGTGGAACAGGTGATGAAATGAAATGTAAGATTTGTGGAATGAAAAATTGATGATCTGCTCTGCAAACCCTCACTCAATTCACAATTAAAAAAAAAAAGACTGCTTCAGGCATAACAAATCTGGTATACTAAAACTCTAAAAAGTTTTACTGTGGGAAAATTTAAAATACATACAAAAGTAGTGGTGGTGGTGGCTGTCTGCCACTGAGTCAGTTCCGATTCATAGTGACCCTACCTTGTATAGGATTTCAGAAACTGTAAAAATTTATGGGAACAGAAAGCCTTATCTTTCTCCCATGGAGCAGCTCGTAGATTCAAACTGCTGAACTTGTGGTTATCAGCCCGGCTTGTAATCCACTACACTACCAGGGCTCCTTAAATACAACAGTTGTTGTGTGCCGTGGAGTCGATTCCGACTCATAGCGACCCTGCACAGGGTTTCCGAGGCTGTTAATCTTTACAGGAGCAGAACACCTTATCTTTCTCCCGCGGAGCAGCTGGTAGTTTCAAACTGCTGACCTTGCGGTTGGCAGCCCGATTCGTAACCACTACGCTACCAGAGCTCCTTAAATACAACAGTAGGAATATTTATATAATGAAGCTCCATATACTTATCACCCAGATTAAATATCAACACATAGCCAATCTTATTTGATTTATTCTTCCTTCTAAGCTAATTTTCTAAAAAGCAAATCCCAGAAATTATCTCATTATAGCATATAAACATTTAAGTAATATATTTTTAAAACATCCAGTTACTCAGCATTTATTACAGGGCTTCTTATTCATGGAAATTAAAAATATAATTTGTAAACAAACAAACTAACACTAACAAGGTGGTAAAAGACAAGGATTATGACAGAAAACACGTTCTAGGCACAACAATATGATGAAAAGCAAATATATACAAAGAAGTTAGAAATGTTATGTGAGTAGAAGGGACAAAATTAACTGCAGCAGAAGAACCACTTGGAGAATAATCAGAGATAAGATTGGAACTGCAAATGGAGAAACCGGTGACAAAACCTTGAATATACTGATAAAGAACATTACATTCCTGAATATAGAATAAAATAAGATTATACATACATCTTTTTCAAAATAATAAGCCACATCAGCTATGTCCACTTCATTCTGAGTTTTCTGAGAAGAATTTTGTACCAGATCAATAGTGATCATATTATTCTCATACTGAGGAGAAAAATGAAAAATGCAAATTAATATAACCAAAATCCTACAAAATATCATTATTTTAATAACCAGAAAATTCAGTGTTAAGTTTTCTGTAATATATACATGCACCATTATTTCTTATCATTAGAGGATAATTTATCAGTATTAGCTCAAAATCTTTGAGATGTCTTTAAATCTATGTAAGAGTAATAAGACAGCAATGCAACTAAAGATAATTACAAATGTTTTCTTTTTCCCCCAAACAAAATAGAATTTTCTTCTTCTGAAGAGTTTTTAAAACAAGATATCAAAATATCTTCTTTTTGAGTTAAAATACTTTAAAACCAAAATGCTAAAGAAACATAGTCCACAATGCAGTATGCATGTATTATGTTCTATTTTTTGAGAGTAAAAAAATGAATATTCCTTTCTAAGAATCTTTTATAAAATATATTCATTTTAAACCAGAAGAATTTAATAAATTTTTATTTCCTTTAAATAATTCCATCACTTTAATTCAAGTATTTTTTCTGAGTTGAAAAGAGGTAAGGAAGGACTAATGGGTTAAAGACTAGTTCCTTAAACAGAGAACACAGGGCGAGAGTAGTATCCTGAAGTAAATATTTGCTAAGAGCAATCATAGAAAGAGGCTTTCCCAAGTAAGGCCTTGCTTTAGGGATACTAAAAGATGCTACATGTTATGGGTAAACTAGAGTTTTCAAAGGCTATGGGAAAAGAAAAACAACAAGCGGGAACTCCATACTACAACGTGCTGAGACCTTAATTACTAATCAAACACAGTTGATAACTACTAAAATCTGAAAGTTTTTTATACCCAAACCATACTTTTCCACCCATTTTCTGCTCAAGTTCATTTGCTAAAAACCTTACCTTAATGCTTTGGATGTATTTTTGATCCAGATGATAACGACGTGTGATTACATCCTTAAGAGTGCTGTAAATAATAAAGAATCAGAATTTTAAAAGTACTGCTAAGCAGACGTGGCACTATAGGATAAGCACTGGACCACAAGATGGATTTGAACCTCAAGGTCGCTCCTCGGAAACCCTACACAGGGTCTCTATGAGTCGGAACTGACTCGACAGCACTTAACAACAAGTAAGCAGATAACTTAAGGTTTGTATTTGTTAACTAAACTATAAATATTATTTATACTCTTTGTAACTATCAGTAATAATTGATTCAGGCTAGAATCATCTATTAGTGCTAAAATTGTAGAGTGGCAGTCTGAAGAAAAATAGGATATTTACATAGTATCCAAATACCTGCCCAAAGATTAGTTATTAATTATAAGTGGGGAGGGGGACGGTATCTTTACAGTGGAGAAACCTGGTGGACACGACTTTACCAAAGTTATCATCACTACTTGAGACAAATTGACATCAGGCAACTCTTGCTATGAAAGTACTGAGGACACAAGATCACATTAGTTTTCTTATGTATAACCTAAATTTAATAATGAGACAACACCAGACAAATCTAAATTTGAAGAAATTTCTATAAAACAACTTACCCATATGCTTATTTCATGTAGGAACCCAAGACCATGGTCTCTAGGGACACCAAGGTCAACTGTCATTAAAGTCTACAAAAAGGAGCTCTGGTAGTGTAGTGGTTATGCGTCAGGCTGCTAACCTCAAAGTTGGCATTTTGAAACGATCAGCTATTCCACAGGAAAAAGATGTTTTCTGCTCCTGTAAAGATTTACAGCCTCAGAAACCCTATGCTGGGTCTATATGAATCGGAACTGACTCATAACCACCAGTCTACAAAACCAAGGTTCTACAACCTACTTTGGTGAGTAGAAACTGGGGTCTTAAAAAGTTTTAAGCAGTCATCTAAGGTACAACTATTGTTCTCTCCCCATCAAGAGCAAAGAAAAGTAAGATAAAGATGCAAGGAAACAAGTACTCCAAAGACTAATGGACCATGTGAATGAACATCAGCCTCTATGACACTGAGACAGGAAGAACTAGATGGTACCTGATTACTACCACTAACTGCTCTGAAAGGGACCACATTACAAGGTTTTGGATAGAGTCAGAGAAAAAGGTGGAACAGAATTCAAAATCAAGGAAAGAACAAAATAAAATACAAGTTCACTGGTTAGATAGACTGGTGGAAATCTGAGACTATGGCCCTTAGTCACCATTCAGGTCAGGAAATGAACTCACCCCCTTAGCTCAATTTTCAGGCAAAGAATATACAAGTCTATAGGGAACCACAAGGTCAGCAGTTCAAACCCACCAGCTGCTCCTCAGAAACCCTGTATAGGGTCGCTCAAAGGCACTTAACAACAAAGGGGAAAATAACACTAGAGGTATGTACTCAGAATAATCAACCATTTGAAATCACAAGGACAGCATTTACTCAAGGATAAAGTTCAGATGGGTTAGATAAAAAGAAGGAATGCAATTAAGAAATGCAAGGAGGAGGCAGGAAAAGTGATGTTATACTATGGGGATTGCAACCAATGACATGAAACAAAATGTGTATCAATTGTTGAATAGAAAACTGATTTGCTCTGTAAACCTTCACCCAATTCACAATTAAAAGTTTAAAACCAACAACAAAAATGATAATGTCAGAAAAGAAAAAAATGAGTCATGTAAACAAATGTAGTGCATGATACTGGATCAGGAGGAAAATAAGACAAAAGAACATTACTGATGAAACAGACACAAGACGACATCAATATTAAATTTCCTAAATTTGGAAATCAAACAGTGATTATGTAATGAGACTGTCTCTCCCCTACCTTAGGAAAAGATACACTAAAGTATTTAAGGATTAAGAGAACATCCACAACTTGTTCTTAAAAAAATATCCACACATTCTTAGACAAAGCACACAATTATGCAAAACCAAATATAAAAAGCAAATGTAGAACTCGTCCTATAAGCAGCCTGAGGTAATCTCACAAAACAGTGTGCTACTTACTTGCCCAGAAAATCCCACAAAATCATGCAAATCAAGAGGTTCAAATCCGTGGATCCATTTTAAGAACACCCATGAGAATTCCTAAGACATCAAAGGCATATATATCCAAAAAACCACCAAGTATTTGAAAGATGTCACTTTACAGAAGCAATGTGCGCCATTCTGATATTACAATGGTGGCATTGGTAGGTGTGCCCAGGCCGAACAGTGGGGTTGGACACAGGGTTAGTGGCCCAAAAAGAGTACTGAATTTTAGGGTTTAGATGTGGAATCTCTGATCATTGAGCACATCCAGGTCAACAAAGCCCCAAAGATACACCACCAAAATTACAGAGCTCATGGTCAGATCAGCCCCATGACCACCCTCTGCATCATTAAGATGATCCTCATTGTAGAGGGGCATATTGTTCCTAAATCAGAAGAGGAGGTTGCACAGAAGAAAAAGATTTCCCAGAAGAAAATGAAGAAACAAAAACTTATGGCTTGGGAATAAATTAAGTTTAAAATAAAATGCAAATAAAAGTGAAAAAAAAAGGCAAATGTTACAGAAATTCTTTGTACTTTTCTTGCAGCTCTATTTCACAGAAAGGTTTAAAATATATTTGTTGTTGTTGTTAATTGACATCTACTCAGTTCTGACTCATAGCAGCCCTATATAGGGTTTATGATACTTTATTTTTCAAAAATATAGAAAGCAGTTAGACTTATTGTGGCCTTTCTAATGGTTTAGGTTGGAAAGTTTGAGCACTGACTGTACTAATGAGTTCAATAGCACTTACCTCTCTAAGCTTGCAACATCATAAGGTTTATCTCTTGTTCTGTGTTTTAGTTCAATGATGATCCAACTGTAAAATAAAAAAACAGTATGAATTTGATTCTAACAATTCAGTCTCTTATGTGATACACTCAATAATAAGCTAATACTAACATTCACAAGTGGAATTAAAAGTAGATTAAACAAAATAATTTATATTTTAGATAGGCCCATAGTTTTTTCTCCAACCCTCACATATTCATCATAAATAACTCAACCATCTCTAACCACAACATATAAAGTCAAAGCTGGTCTGGCCATGTGGGACCATGTTTTACTAAAAAGATAAACAGGCAAAAGTGGTCCTGATGGCTTCCTAGCTTCTAGGCAAACTAGCTTGAGTAGGTTTCTGTTCCGTTTCATTAGATAATCTTTAAGACACTCATGGTTGTGTCGGTTCTGACTCATAGCGACTCTGTATAGGGTTTCTGAAGTAGTAAATCTTTAAGGGAGCAGAAAGCCTCATCGTTCTCCTGCAGAGTAGATGGTAGATTCAAACTGTTGACCTCACTGTTAGCACCCCAACATAACACCATTATGCCAGGGCTTCTTTAAGACAACTATAACACTTTTAAAAAACAACAAATGAGCAAATATATAAATATTTCAAATTATTCATATTTATCACTAATCTAACTTCAAAATACTGAAGTGTTAAATAAAATTTAAAGAGTGAAATTAAATTTAGTATGTTATTGATTATGTAAAAAAATTTAAAAACATATGCTGTTGTTAGTTACCATATAGAGTTGGTTCCAACTCATAATGACCTACAACAGAGCAAACCACTGCCTGGTCCTTCACCATTCTCATAATCATTGCTATGTCTAAGCCTACTCTTGCAGCCTCTGTGTCAATCCATCTCGTTGAGGGTCTTCTTCCTTTTTGCTGACCCTCTAACTTTATCAAGCATGATTTTCTTCTCGAGGGACTGGTTTTTCTTGATAATATGTCCAAAGTATGTGAGATAAAGTCTCACCAACTTCACTTTTAAGAAGCATTCTGGCTATATTTCTTCAAAGATACATTAATTCTTCTGGCAGTCCATAGTACACAGAGGCTTCAAAAGTTTCATGGAAAATGAAATTAAAAGATAATGGAGAGTTCTGGGGCAAGATGACAGAGAAGGCAAACGTGATGAACAGGTCATCAGCAACAAGGACATGGGAGACCAAATGAAACAGATATGGATGGTGACTCTGAAACTCAAAGCTTGAGGATAGGTGGACTGCACGCTGACCAGAAAAAGAAGTTGAACAGGAGTGGTGAGAGAAGCAACAGATGAATGTCTGTCTTGGGGACACAGGAGGTTGGTAGTGAAGGGGCTGCAGTCTTCCCTTGTTCCTTTCACCCTTCTGGTAGCTAGTGGCGTGGTTAGTCCTTATTCTCACCTACCCAGCAGCCAGTGGCATTCCTTACTGTACAGTCTTTGCTCTGCCAGACATACCACCTCTGCATCTGGAGGTTTGTGAACTATGCTACAAACATGAAGCAGAGAACTGGGTACACACTTCCAGTCTCTATCACATCTACCTGGAGACAGGTGGTGAGT